AAAGAAAGAAAGAAAGAAAGAAAGAAAGAAAGAAAGAAAGAAAGAAAGAAAGAAAGAAAGAAAGAAAGAAGAAAGATTTCATAAAACTACAAGTGAGGGTCAGCAAGTGGCATGGTGGTTAAGGTGCTAGACTCCCACATGGCTGACCACAGTTGCAGTCCCAGACCTAGCAAATTGCTTTCTCACTTTCCCTCTCTTTCTCTCTCTGTTTCTGTCTAGTGAGTGCATGTGCCCTATAGCAAATTCAAAAATAATAATAATAAGTAAATTAAATTAAATAATTTTTAAAAATTATAGGCCAGATACACAACTAGAATATTAGTCTATAAGATCAAAATAATAGATCAGATTATCTAGGATATGCATATGAACTAATATGTTCTATATGTATACAAGTATGTGTGTGTGCATGTGTATGGGCATGGGTGTTTGTAAAATACATTCTGGAGAGGTTGTGTGTGGGCCAAATCTTCCCCTAATAGGACCTAGAAATTATTAATGTGTTAGAATCAGTCTTTATTAAGTGTCTAGTTAGACCAAGACCTTTCATTCATTGGCATTTTAAGTTTAATCATTCACTTAACTTTTTGGAGGAAATTATTGTTATCTCATTTACCAGATGAGGAAACTGACATCCCCAGAAGTTAAGGAATCTGCCTGATGGCCTCAGGTGAATGAAGATGAAATTTGAACCTGTGTCTGTCTAGCTCCAAAGTTTCTGCTGTTCTCACTGATTGCCACTACATGCCCAAATCTGGCTACTTCATACATTTCGATTGTTAATTTTTTTTCCTTTATTATGCCAGAGATGTACATGAGTGAAAAAGAGAGCGAGAGAAGAGAGAGGGGGGAGAGAGAAAGTACCCCCGATAAGGGTCTGTAAGGGTCTGGTCATGTTGCAATCCTTTTCCTCCAATTCTGCTTTCTGTCAGGTTCCAAGAGATTTGCACACACATTCAGCATTTTAGCTGCCAAGGGCCTGGACGCAAACCCTGGTCAGCCATGTGAGATCCAGCTACCTCTACACAGTGCCTAACTTCTGTGCTTGACAGGGCCAGTCCCATTTGGATTATTTAAATCAAGGATCATATTTGTTTTTATAAAATAGCATGAAAAATATTGTTAGACAAAATAAGCTCCCAATTATTGTAAAGCAAAACAAATGAACAAACAAAATTTTGTTTCTTAGAAAAAAAAAAACGAAGAAAAGGAAAGCACCAACTACAATGTGGAGTGCCAAGGGAAGTAACAGTTTTCTATAGGAAACTTGCCAAGTAAATGTGTGGCTGTTAGGTGTGTATGTTAGGGGTGTGTGTGTGTGTGTACAAGTGTGCATGCCTCTGTGTGTACATGCATGTGCATATGACAAGTATGTGCATGTTTGAGGCGTATATAGGTAGGGGTGTGTGTGTGTGTGTGTGTGTGTTTCCAGGATAAGAAAAAGAGCAGGAATTTTGGCCAGTAGGTAGAATGGAGGTTGAGGCTCTAGATCCCACAGGACCAGCTGTGCAGTTCAAGTCCTGGACCTAGTGACTTGAAAATTACACCAGGCACATGTGTATGCATGCCCAAAATCCTGAGAGGAGATTGGAAGAGAAGAAATTGTGGCACTCTCTGGGGGGTGAGAGGAGAGGTGAATTCTCACTTTGTTTCTCTCTATCTCTCTGGTGTGTGCACTCATCACATAGCAATAAATATATAAATAGCAAGGATTTATTGGATCTTCCTTTAGAGAGATAACTAGGCATAGTTTTTTTTAATTCCTAGGTTGCTGGCCTGGGGACCCCACTTTGAGAATCCTTCTAATAGGACATTAACTAGCTACTGGAAGCTAGCCATGACTTCTGAGCCCTAGGACCCTCTCACAGCCCTTCTCACTCCCCTTATTTCTACTACAGGGAGAGATGTTGGTGCCAGTCCACTTCCTGCTGTTGCTGCTGCTCCTTGGGGGCCCAAGCACAGGCCTCTCTCACCATTACTACAAAGCCAAGCCTCTCTTTAGTTGCCTCAACACAGCCCTGTCTGAGGTCAAGAAGGGCCCTCCAGAAGATGCGCTCCTGATGAGCAAGAGGAGCTTCCACTATCTGCCTGTCCAAGACCCATCTTCAGGAGAAGAAGAGGAGGCGGAGGAGAAGGAGGAGAGGAAGGACAAGGAGAGAAGGACTTTCCCTGGCTCCAGGGGTGGAGGTGGGGCTGGCAGTGCCCGATACAAATACCTGTCCCAGCTTAGGGGGAAGCTGGACCAGGACAAGGTCAAGAGTGATCGGCATACCAAGTTCACTCTGTCCCTTGACGTGCCTACCAACATCATGAACATCCTCTTCAACATTGCCAAGGCAAAGAACTTGCAAGCCAAGGCAGCTGCCAATGCCCACCTGATGGCACAGATTGGACGGAAGAAGTAGAGGTCGAGGCCGGGCAGGAGGGCAGCACATCAAGGATGGGGCAAGGGTAGAGAGTGGGGTTACTGAGCGTGTGCTGTCCACCGGCCTTGTATCTTGAGGGGTTGGGCCAGTGATACTGGCTGCTTCACTGCTCAGTCCCTCTGACCTTTTCTTGCCTCTAGCCCGTTTCTCTCTCCTCTGTACAAACACACAGAAGTGCAGTGCTGTTCAACCTTTCCAGACACAAGGTAGTCAATGTCTCTCCTTGTATTTTGTGTCTCCTTTCTCCTTCCTTATGATGAGTCAAATTTCATGCATCTCTCCTCTCCAAGCTTCTCCCTGTTGGCCCCACACCTGAACAGAGAGTGTCCAGGGCTCCTTTGTTTCCCACGCACCAAGGCAAAGAGACAAGGAGATGTATGACACACCATGTGGCCACCAAGTCCCTTTCCTACCTCCTCACCCCCATTAAAAGCAGTGGATTTTTGAGCTCCTGATTTGTTTCAGTGTCTCTTCCTTTCACCCACTGCCTCCAAACTCTGAACAAGGGGGGTGAATAAGGGAGGTTACTGCTGAGTCCATTCCTGATTCTTCACAGGAGGGTCTGGGTCTTGGAGGACTTAAGAGGAGTAAACAGAGCTCAAGGGGCAGTTTTGTCTTTGAATTTGGAGCCATCTCCATGGCCCAGTCACACCCAAGGGAGATAACCTGGATCTGTTTCAGTATGGATGTCTGAGTTAAAACTGGGAGCTCTAAATTACTCCCTTGTAACATCCAGAACTCCTGCATGGCTTGCCAGGGCATGGGGCCACTAGTTTATTACTGAGTTCTTATTGCGCTGGGTCCTGTGGTAGACACTGGTGTCTGAGGTGAGCCCTCTGCTTTGTGAGTCAACAATCTCAGTGAACAGACAAAACCAAAATTTGAGAAGAAGCAAATACCACTAGGAGCTATGTAATGATGAACTGCACAATGATAGCAATTGGTGTTTAAAAAAAATACATGCATACACACACACACACACACACACACACACACACACATATACACACACATTCATGCATACAAGGGGGTCTTCAAAAAGTTCATGGAAATGTGTATTATGAAAACACTATATGCATGGATTTTAATTTTTTTTTGAGAGATTTTCACTGTAGGGCGCGTGCGCTTGCCAGACAGACAGAGAGAGACATAGAGACAGAAAGCGAGAAATCACCCCCCGGGGGGATGGTCATGCCGCAATCCCTTCTCCTCCATTCTCCTCTCGGGATCTTGGGCACGCACGCACCCGCGCCCGGCGTGAGTTTTAAGCCACCGGGTCCGGGACACGAACCGCAGTCGACTACGTGGGAGTCCAGCAACATAGCCATTACGCTAACTGCTGGTTCCCAATTTTAATTTTTTTCATCACAATGAATCTGTAGTTGAATTCCTTTAAAAAGAAAAAAAGAAAAAAATCTTCCTGAAGTTCTTTTGTGTGAGGAACTCAGAGATGAGAACATTTAATATGAGGAAAATACCACTAAAAATGGACAGCAACAGGAACTCTGAAGGACCTATGGCAGCAAACCCTGAAGGCCAGATTCCCAGAAAATAGACCATGGCCCAACTTACTCCCATATGGCGTCAAATCAGAAATAAATAGAGCAAATGTCTATTTGGTAAAATAAACAACACACATATACACATACCTACACACACACACATTAGAAATTGAAACCACCACCACAAGAGGCAAAGTCAAAGACAAATAAATGACAAATTTGGGGAAATGTTTCCCATTTATATAAAAAAATAATTAGCTTATTGTTTGAAAATATAAAACACTACACAAAATTGAGAACAAATCCAAGAGAAACATTGCATTACACATGAGTAGATCACAAGTACATACACCAAAAAAAAAAAAGACAAACCCTCAAATGCGTGAAAAGATGCTCAAATTCCCTCATAACAACTATATCAATACACAGTCTTTTACTTCTTTGTCATATTGGCCGCCGTCCGAAAGTTTGATAGTACACTCCACTGAAATATTCATCAAATTACAAATTCATTTTTCCTTTAATCCAGCAATCCTGCTTCTGATAAACATTACTAGAAAAAGTTAAAATTTAAATTAAAAATCTTTAAGTTACAATTAAACTTTCAAAAGAAAAAAATTGAAATTTAAAATAGCCCATCTCTTCACTGGACTAAAGCTCTAAAAATGTGGAAATACAGCTATTGTTTCCATCCTGGGGAAATCATGTGGTTGAACTGAAAGAATCCCGGCTCAAGACTCAGAGCCTCAATTGCTGAGTCGAAGTTCTTTCACTCATGATATGTCTATGAACAAATCCTATCCCTTCTCTGAATGCTGATATGCCAGGAATCTTAACATACCCCCACAGTTACATTTCAAAGTAGGTGTTATGTTTTTCCATTTTGAAGTTGGAGATTGAGGCCTAGAGAAGTTAGGGAACATGCCTGAGGTCTCCCAGCTCTTAACTGATAGACTGAGCTCTTTCTGGCCACAGAACCTCTCTCACTCCTCCATGAAATGCTGACCTTTCGTCTGTACAAGGGCATGAAAACGTCAGCTGTCCTTCCTTCCCAGGGCTATCATGAGGCTCAAATAGACTACAAAATGGAAGAGCTAGGAAAGCACCACACAGAGACCAGGGTTATGATTACTATGGCCCCAGCAGGTGTGTCTGGTGTTTAGTACGCTTTCAGATCCTTACAGATGACTGAAGTAGGGCAGCAAGCAGAAGAGCGATAAACTAGGCAGAAGTGGCCATCAACAACAGTAGGGAAAACACCGGCTTCCTGTTGGAGAGCTCCTGTTTCACAAGTCCAGCGTATTGCCAAGTTTGAGGGCTTGCAGTATCAGACCCTGATTTGAGAGCAGGTAGTGCTTCTGAGAATGTGTTCATAATAACACCAATAATGAGTGAGTGGTTGAGTGGTAGAGGAAGCCTCGCAAACGAGTCACCATCATTTTTATCTGTTAGCCCTGATCTTACTTTGTAACACTGTTTTTTTTTTTTTTTTTTTCAAAGGGAGCACTAATGTGGATCCTTAGTGTCTTAAAAAGAAGAAATCCCCAGCCCCCCATCTTCTTCTTAGTCAGGGAAGTATTAACAGGCAGGGAAAGAACAGCATCATGAGTATCAAAAAGCTAACAATCGGGAACCAGCAGTTAGCGTAATGGCTATGTCGCTGGACTCCCACGTAGTCGACCGCGGTTCGTGTCCCAGACCCGGTGGCTTAAAACTCACGCCGGGCGCGTGTGCGTGCGTGCCCAAGATCCCGAGAGGAGAATGGAGGAGAAGGGATTGCGGCGTGACCATCCCCCCTGGGGGGTGATTTCTCGCTTTCTGTCTCTAAGTCTCTGTCTGTCTGGCGAGCGCACGCGCCCTACAGTGAAAAAAAATCTCTCCAAAAAAAAAAAGAAGCTAACAATCCAATTTAATAGGGAGCTGCTGTGGCTGAAGAGAATTTGACTAGAACATAACAAGTCCAGGTAATTATTGAATGATAGAGTAGGCTCTTAGAACACATGGATTTATGATTGAGATTTTTCACAAGTCCTTGCTATACAATAATTTGTCGAGTTTTGTTTTGTTTTGTTTTTCTTTTTCTTTTTCTTTTTTTAAAAAAACAGTTCTGAATTATTCTGCAAGGCAGATGTGCATGAACAAGTTCATTATTTGGTGAGTGGATCTAATCAATTACCCAGTGTCTGTCTCCAAGCAGACTTCGTTACCATTACTAATTACCTCATATGTCCCATATCGTTAAAGGCCTAAAGAGGGTTACTTAGTATCTTCTTGTTTTGTTTTTCAGTTAGACATTACTGCATTTTGCAGAGGAAATTACCCATGAATAAGGCAATGCATAAAGGTCTCAGATATTCTGAGTGTAGGCTGTATTTGATTCTGATTTAAGTATATTATCAGAGAAATACAACTGATCCTATGTCCTGCAACTATGATATGTAGACATGTTAGAAACTGTCTAGGGGGACCAGCAGTTAGCATAATGGCTATGTTACTGGACTCCCATGTGGTCGACCGCTGTTCGCGTCCCGGATCCAGTGGCTTAAAACTCACGCCGGGTGCATGTGCGTGCGTGCCCAAGATCCCAAGAGGAGAATGGAGGAGAAGGGATTGCGTCATGGCCATTCCCTCTGGGGGATGATTGCTTGCTTTCTGTCTCTCTGTCTCTCTCTGTCTGTCTGGCGAGCGCACATGCCCTATAGCAAAAACCTCTCAAAAAAATAAAGGAAGAAAGAAAAGAAAAAAAAAAAAAAAGAAACTGTCTAGGAGAGAACACCCACAGAGGAAAGGCTAATGAAACTGGGTTAAATTAACATGGTATTGTGTCATGTATATTTTTTTAATTTAAACAAAAAGAGGTTAAAATATCTTATAAGGGTTAGTGAATTTCCTAAAAGAAACATTTGCAAGAGACCATGACTATAAAGACCTTTTTCTAAAGCAGATATAAATTTAAACCATAATCGCAATTCATCAGCTGTGTCAGTAGAGATATTGGAATGAATGAGTCCAAAGAGGTGGTGATCTTACCTTGTCAAGAATCAATAAGAATCTTGGGGCCAACAAAACCCTAAAGCATCAATTTATCACCATCAGGAAATAAATTTGCCCCATGGAAGAGAGAAAAATAAGGCAGTTTTTAAAACAAGAATGAAAATAAAGGTATATGAGGTACATAAGAATATAAAACTTGGGAAGTTTTTGTTTTTTTCAATCAGAACAGGTTTGTACGCATGAAAATTCTCAACACAAATTTTTTGGGTTATTTGTATCTGTTTAACTCCCTTCAAAAATTAGTTTAAGTTCTCTTTTCAAAATAAAATGAGGATCAATGACCAAGCTAACCTCCTCCAAGGTCAAGAAAAGTGGATGGGAGACATGATCTCTAGATGTTCCATCTAATAAGAAATCCTGAAAACAAAATATCAACAGCAAACAAAGGTGCCTGCTTCATGACAGTACAATCATTCTGAAAGCTGTAACCAAATAATCAGGGAAAGCCAGGGTGATGTGTAGCATTTCATCAGGCATTTTTTGTAATTCCAAGAAATGGGATGCATGCAAGTCCAAAAGTATTTCATCTTAAACTGAAAAGATATTTACATATATCAAGAGCCAAAGAAATACAAAATCTAATCAAATGGTAGAGCTAGCTAGATTTGTAAGAATTAAGGATATAATCTGACTTGAAAATTAGATAGTAACATGACTCAAAGCTAAGAGTGAGCTAGAGACCACCTCATTCTTTAATTAATGGAGTTCTTTCTATAGACTGTTGCTGGGGTTCTGAAGATTCCATGAGGATCACAAGGAACCACTCACAGCCTGCTCAGTATCATTAAAATGATACTGCAAACTGAGAAAGGCAAAAGATAAAAAATTTATCTTACAGAGACAACCCCGAAACTATGGAATGAC